TTTAACGTCTGCCGGTGCAGGAGCAAGCGATGGCGTTGAGTGCACCAAGAAATTGCCCTTTTGTGTATTTGGCCCCATTCGCTGCCAGTCCATATCCGAGTTGTCCACCGCCTCTGTCGACCCTAGCCTAAAGGCTGCATATTTCGGTTTTTGATTTTCCTGGTAGTAGCCAAACTCCTCCTGAATCTGTGGAAGCATTTGTGGCATGGATTGCTGTTCCACTGARCGTAGCCGTTGAGAGTTCTTTGAATCATCTAAGAATAGTCAGATTTATTAAAAATGGTTTTAAATTGTTGCGTTGTTGTACTCACTGCTCGCAAATGTCACAATGCCACTATCACCGCTGGCAATGCTTTGACCATAACAATCTACTGATGAGCCTGACGTTGTGTAGGATATTGTGCTGCCGCCTGCCTTTAACATGAATGGATGCCTGAGCACCTGCTCCAAAGAGATGCGTTCATGCGGATTCTTTCTCAATAGCTTGTCGATTAAATCGCGTGCTTCATAGGACAAATGCGATGGCATTGTATAGTCAGAGTGTACCACTTTATTGAGTGTTGACTGTACAGCGTCTGTGTCGAATGGCGGACGTCCCACCAAGAGCGTGTAAAGCATGCAGCCAACGCTCCAAAGATCAGCGGGCAAACCATGGGACATGTGTGACACAACTTCCGGGGAAATATAGTTAGGAGTACCACACATGGTCATGTGTCGTTCGTCGGGCCTCTTCAATTGGGTTGCCAGACCGAAGTCGGCGATTTTTACGTGCATATCCTTGCTGAGCAGTAAATTGGAAAGTGATATGTCCCGATGCATGATGTTGTGCGAGTGCAAGTACAGCAAACCATCTACAACCTGCCGCAGTATAGAAGACGCTTCGTCCTCAGTGAAGGGACGCTTCATTTGCTGGTTCATGTAGCGATGCAGTTCACCATTGTCGGCCAGTTCTAAGATTAAGTAGACATAGTTGGCGTCCTGGAAAAATGTGTACAGCTGCAACACCGACGGATGCTTCAGCCTGGAATGTATATCGACTTCTTGTCTAACGCGATTCGATAAGCCTGAGCCCTGTATGAGCTTCTTGTCAATCTGTCCACATTTAATTACAAATAAATAGAAATTTTTATTCATAACGTTTATATTATGCATTTACCATTTTAATTGCCACATTTTGATGTGTACGCAGGCATTTTGCCTTGTAAACACAGGCGAAGCCTCCTTTACCCAGCAGGTGCTGTACTTCATATTCCTATAAACACAAATATTTATTAAAATTGCGTTATGCACCATCAAATTGTATGTGTTCATTAAATTACATCGATGGTTTCTCCAAAATTTCGATATGGCAGCATAGTTTACTTTGATTTACATTCACTTTTTATTCTTATTCTCATAAATAAACAAAAACAAGCCAAACACATTTGAAAAGAAGAACGCCAATTTGCTAGTGTTGGGAAATACCAAAGATATATTTATGCAGTAGACGCTGCAATTGGCATACTGACCTGCTATCGATATTAATAAGATTTAGATCATACTATACATTTGTCATCGAATATCTTTTTTCAACGATGAAGTCCTGCGGATATAAAAAAAATAACTAAAATTATAGCTAAAAGGGGATTTCGAGATCGCAAATATTGTTAAGCTAAAAATTTAATAAAAATTATATAAAATGAATAAAAATCTCTTGTTTAATTACTCTTGAAATAATATTTAAAATATAAATAATTTTTAAACATTAGGCAACTTTATTTAGACCCATTAACCGTTTAAATACAGAAATCCAGCACTGATTTAATAGTACTTCTTAATCCACAGTATTACTTTTCCCCCGTTCAATTCYGACCTTTATCAAACACAAAACTTTAATTATTATATTTTAAATAGATTTCGTACGCAATGTTTTAAATAATGCATTTTGTGTATATTTATATTGTATCAACGGCTTTACAGAACAATGTATTTGTGTTTGTGTTTAAATATGACTTGGAAACCAAATTCGTCCATTTGATTTGGATTTTTTGGAGAAAAAGGTGCGTGGTGTTTGGAATTCCGACCTTATGATTTTTACAAATTTTCATAATTCAAATTGCACAAATTTGTTGTGATCAATTATCTTCAGTCTCACACAGATTTTCTTTATTTTATAGTTAATATGTTATACACATATATTTATTCTTAACCGGCTTTGTTTATGTATTAAAAAATATAAGCTTTTTAAAATATCTGTATGGGTGATTTTTGTTGGTTGTTATTTTTCGTACACAATTACTTGATAAATTCATCATTAACTTTACAATTTTATTTAAATACCTAACAAAATAATCTTTTATAGCTTTATATGGACAACATGAGTATGTTGTTTAAACTAATTAATACTATTATTACTAACTTATTTATAGCGTTATGTAATTATGTATATACTATGTATGTATGT